TTTTTTTCCCCCCCCCCCCCCCCGCTATTGTGCGTGTGTTGGCTGGTCAGGTGGGATCACCTCGCGGCCTCGGCGCCGATGCTGCTGTCGATGAGCCTGGCGGGGTTGCCATTCGTGGGCGCGGACGTCGGCGGGTTCTTCGGGGACCCTTCCGCGGAACTGTTCCTGCGCTGGATGCAGGTGCGGCGGGGCATGTCGTTCGTCTATAGAAAGTATACAACACAATCTCACAGAAATGATTATCAACTAGACCACCGGGGCGACCGGTTATGATGATGCGCGGATCAAAACACGCGAAAAGGAGAAGAGGGTTGGGTGAAGGTTTTGTCTGTGTCGTCATCCCCCCACACTTGGCTGTCGATTCTAGCCCTGTCTTCGGATAACGGTGGCGGCCCCTTCACACAATCCGCCCATCACATCCATATGTTTGCCCACCACCCATCATATCACACTCCCTCGTTTTTTTTTTGTTTCTCTTTCGTCCATCGAATGAATCCGTCCACCAGATCCGTATTTTTTCTCCCACAAGCAATCGATCGCACCATCCCCCGATCACAACGCGACCTTGGTTCTCAAAAGGCTGCATTTTTTTTGCCGTTGCTTTTAGGACGACGTCCAAGTCCTACCTTGAAAGAGACCTCAACCATCCTTTGTTCCGCTTGTTTAATATTTTTTGTCCTTCCGCCTTCCACCAACGCGCGTGTGGTACACATGCACGGTTACCGCTGGCGCCAACACCACCCAGGCGGCGGCGTACCAGCCGTTCTTCCGCTCCCACGCGCACCACGACTCCAAGAGGCGGGAGCCCTGGGTGTACGGGGACCCGTGGACGGCGCGCATCCGTTCCGTGGTGATGGCGCGGTACGCGTTGCTGCCGTACTGGTGAGCGAGAGGGCACGGGCGTGATTTTCTGCAAAGGCAGGAGGTGATGATGAGAGGCATCTTCCCCTCTCGTCCCGTTCTCTTTCGTTTGCACGAAGCGAAGGCAGCGTTGTAGTTTTGCAGGAGTGCAAGGTGGAAGTTGGTGGTGGGCGTCAGAACGGAGTTCCAATTTGAATTGCCAGGAGTGGGAACGTCGATCTCTTCGTGACATGATCCAAGTAAAAAAGCTTGCAAAGCAAGCTATGACTGAATGAGTACGCTGCCTCCCCCCCACACCCAAAACAAAGGTACACCCTGTTCCAGGAGGCTAGCGACACCGGCATGCCGATGATGCGGCCCATGTGGGTCCAGTACCCCGGCGACGCCAACACGTTTGACATGGACAACCAGGTGCGGCCCATCGTCATCACGTTTATTATTTTTTTTTTTCGTTCTTTTAGGCCATCGTTATTTTGTTGTTGTACTCGATTGATTCACGTCGTCCGAAACCCACTCTCTAGCCCCCTCCCCCCCCCAGCCTGCACCTCGTGAGGCCCTCTCAACTTATTTACCGCATCCCCTTACCCCCCCCCCCCCCCCTCGGGGTATTTTTCTCCCGCCACCAAAAAAA